AACATGCCTTAACAACAACAACTTTAGAATACTACTAGAGAAGGCAGAGTTATCCTTGCTATCTAGGCCTTCTACGCTGGCCAATTTCGCAGTATCCACAGCGCTGCTAGAGCGTTGAACATACCTTATTAGTAGGTCTCTAATTGCCTTCACAATATTACGTTTTAACTAGACGTACGCGCTAATTGCTAGAAACTTACTATACCAGAGGAGCAGACAATTATCTAGTATATACTTAACCTTAATTTGTAAGGATTTGCGCCCCAGCTATGTGAGGTGGCAGATATGGCTAATAAGATACTTAGTGTGCGTGGTGAAGAGCCTGTTGGCAAACTATGGGCTAGCAGGCTTGTGACGCGTTTAGACAAGCTTAAAATGGCCTTCAATTAAGCTAAGGATAGACAGAGGATACTACAGGAAGATCCTGAGATAATCAGCGCGTGGTTTAAGCTAGTAGAGGATACTTAAGTTAAGTATAGTGTTTGCAACAACAACGTGCACAACTTTAATAAAACTAGGTTCTAGATGGGCGTTGCTTTGTCTTTAAAGGTTGTAACAGGCTTAGAGAGACGTGCTCGGCCAGAGCTTGTTCAGCCAGGTGATCGCGAGTGGGTTACCGTTATCCAGAGCATCTGCGCCGCTGGGTATGCAACCCCGCCTTTCATCATCTACAAAGGACGCGTCCACATCTCTGCCTGGTATGAGGAGACAGATATACCCCACGATTGGAAGCTCTCAGTCTCTAAGAATAGTTGGACAAACAACGTGCTTGGCCTTAAGTAGTTAAAGCACTTTAACACGCATACAAAGACGCGTCAGGTAGGAGTGTACAGGCTGCTCATCTTAGATAGCTATAAGAGCCATCTCAACTAGGAGTTTAAGGACTATTGCCTAGAGAACTAAATCCTTACTCTCTGCATGCCACCTTACTTGTCACACATCCTCTAGCCACTTAACGTGGTCTGTTTCTTACTGTTAAAGCGCAAGTACTCCTAACACGTTTAAGACTTAGCACGCTAACGCGTCTTCCACATTAACAAGGAAGGCTTCCTACTAGCCTTTAGGGACGCGTTCCTTAATATGTTTACAAAGGTTAACTGCTAAAAGGCCTTTAAGGCATTAGGGCTTGTTCCTACTAACGCGCAGGTGGTGTTAGATTGCCTTAAAGTGCGGCTGCATACCCCACCAGCAGTACCTCTACCTGAAACGCCGTGGCAATCCAAGACGCCAAGCAATACACACAAGTTTAGGTCTTAATCTAAGCTTGTAAGCAACTCCTTCTAACAATTGCTAAGTGCAGCGCAAGAGGGGTTCTTAAAGCTTGTAAAAGGGGCTAAAGAGATACTGCACAAAAACGTCCTTATTAAGGCCCACGTGCGAGAGCTTGAAGAGCAATTAGCAGTAATAACTAAGAGAAAATCGCGTAAGAGAAAGCAGATTCAGCATGGTGGCACACTTGAGTATGGCCCAGCAGCATCGCGGGTAGCTGCTGAGGCGTGTGTAGCAGCTCAGCCATCTAAGAAGACTTAGGGTGGAGGTGGTCAACTAGGAGCTCAGTCAACTGTTCAGCGCTGTAGGAACTGCAGCAAAACTGGACACAACGCACGAACGTGCCAGGAGGGTGCAGAAACATCTTCTAAATCTAATATAAGCACGCAGTATGCTGGGTCACTGTTTAATAGTAAGTAGTTGTAGTTGTAGTAACTTGTGTTAGTCGTGCCAAGAGAAAATGGCCGGTTCAGTGATATGGCCGGCTCGGTGATAATCTACGTTAACTATAGAGGTCTTAACACCTGTGTGCAGTGTATCTTTGTTATTAGCTTAGCCTTTAAGGCAGTTAAGAAAGCCTTAAGATAGTCGCCAACTAATACTCCGTATGAGACAGCGTGAGAGTGCCATCTCTCTAGCGCCTAGAGATCAGCATTTCATCGTGTACGCTGTAGGCCTTTAATAACGTTGTCTGTGCTAAGATTAGGATTTTAATGTCTTAGAGTGTTGTTCTTATGTTAATTAGGTATATAGCCTTTAAGCTAGGTTATAGAAAGATTATAAGTTTATAATATGTATAGTTATTTGTAAGCTAGTTGCTTATTAAGAGCATATTACTCTTGTTCTAATTCTAAGGACAGAGAATTAGTTTGTCTGTCTTGTTAATTGTAGATTAAAGTTTCTAGAGTTAGCAATCCTCTGTTGTTCTGCTCCTTATTCTATTCTATTACTTTACCCCCTATCTAAGGCTCTGTGAGCGCAGATGTGTGAGCAGGCTGCTGTTAACAGCGTTATTAAGTTGTTAAAAGATCTTCTATTGCTATATTATTAGGCTTAAGCTCCTTAGGAAATACTAGAAGCTTAATAACTTCTATAATTACTAATTTGTAAGCATATCCTTGTAGTCCTTTATAGAACTTTATAGGTTTAAAGACAATATCTTGTGTGCGTATAACCTAGTCCTTAGTAGGAAGCTAGATCCTAAAGATATTGGTCAAGTTGTAGCTAACAAGGTGGCCTATAAGCACTCTTAATTTAAGCTTGTCTGCGCGTTTAAGCAATTAATTAAGGACATACGCCTAACAGCCTATTAGTTGTATGTGTTAAACCTTTAGCTTTGTTTTCTAAACTATTTTGTATAGCGTTTTCTATTGTAGTGCTTCTGTTGGCGTATAATTCAGCACATATGCTACTGTTCAAATCAGCTCGTGAGACAGTGATTTTGGCAGTTGTGCCTGAATCCTCATGGCTCTAGCTTGGATGACAAGCAGCGATCCTGCTCGCTCTGCCAGTCTGTTCTGTTCTTCTGTGTACTCTGCTTGTGGCTTATATTGAATACCAAGGTCTTTGCAGAGTTCCTCTAGGAAGTTTAGTAATGTGCTGTATCTATAGTTATTGTCTGTCTTAATAGCTGTTACGTCGCAGTTAAACACTTACTATATACTATGTACGTCTTAAACTAACTATTAACTTAGGAATAGTTTTAATTACTATAGGAAGGTTAATAATTTGTGCTATTTTAAGTATTAATTAATAGAGTGTCTAGCCTATTAATTACTATTTAAGCAGGCTTCTCCTTAAGGTATTAGTTAAATAATATTAATAGAGATTTAATAGAAGGGCCTCTAAGCTTAGTCTTCCTATTATCTTTAAGATATCTGCTTTATTAACTTTAACTCTGTATAGACAGTATAGAATTTGTTATTATTGCCCTCTACAAAAAGTCTATTAATATTTAAGGTAAGCTTTTTAATTACTTTCTTGCTAGGATAACCCTACATCTAATAAGCTGTCCTAGCATTAACTATTTAATTAAGGCGTAGAGCCTTTAAAGGTTAGTAGGTTGTGCTAAAAGACAATAGCAAAGTCTGGCTTAGACAACGTGAGGCATCAGCGTCCACCAGCTAGTGCCCTCTATCGTGCTCCAAGTAGGCAAGAACTAATCCTAGATTGCCCTTGTACAGGAGATCACGTCCTAAATCAAAGTGTATATTAAGCTTCCTGCAGCGCGCCAAGCCAATTAGGCTTGTGACAAAGCCTTAGACGTAAGCAACGTAAGTGAGCTTTAGTGGTTGTACACCTGTTGGTGTATTTGCTATAAGCTCTATGCTTCCCTAGGCTGTTATCTAAACACGTCCTGTTCTAGCTCTAACAAAGTTAGTAGCAGCTGCGTTGTACTCTCTTGTCCATCCCTTCTAGTTCTTAGTGTTAATTACATGAGTGTTAGAGCTAGGGTTAAGGATCTATTAGTTGCTGAGCTTGCTAATATCCTCTTCTATGCTTACTGCTGTGTAGAGGTTGTCTTTCTTTCTTATGTTATTGCAAGCTTTTGTGTTAACTTGCTTGTTGTTCTAAGCATATAGCTCTTGCTTGTAATTTATATATTATACAGTGTTAGCTGTATGTTAGGTGGGACAGTTGCCATTGTCTATAGCAATACTCCCTCTATTCTCTTGCTATTTTGCGCGCTACTTATTAAGCGCCTTGTCAAGCTTGTCTCTTAAGTCGTTGTCAGCAGCCAGGGCGGCATCAAGCTTCTTTTGGCTAATTGCGTTGGCAAAGGCCTTAGGTCTTTGTGGATGCTCTGTGTTGATTAACTAGCAGTCAACCTAGTAGTGCTGTAGGCCACATGGGCATTGCGGCTTGTGTTGCAGCTTGATCCTGTAACCATCCTTGTTCTGCTGCTGAGGCTTTGCAACATCAAGCTCTGCTGCCATAGAGCTGAGTCCTGTTGACAGCGGTCGCACACGCTTAAGGTAAGTGGTGAATTTGCTGACGTAGTCCTCCACAGATGGAATAGCTGTGCCAGCGTCCTCAAGATCGATCAGAGCTCGCAGGCCTGATGTGCCGTATTCTGGATCAATTGTTCTGCATGCAACAAGGAAGTCCTCCTGTGCTCTTGATCCTGTTGTCTCAGGAATCTCTGCAGAGATACACATGTTGGTGACCTCTACCCAGGAGCGAAGCCACTCCTTAATCTTCCTGCCGCGTGGTGGCGTCTAGAGAGATTTGTATTGTGCGATTAGATCGCGTTGTCGTGATGCGTTAGATAGTGCAAGATGCTTCTTGAGCGTCGTCAACCGCTCGTATGGCGTGTCCTTGCTCTTAATTAAGTAAAGGTGCTTTGCAGCAATTATCTTGCTAATCTTAGAGTTAAACTTAGCAAGAGCCTTCTTCTAACGCCTGAACTTAATGTCCTTGCGCTCCTATTGCTTGTACTCCTATTAGTACAGCTTCTGCTGCGCGGCAGTAAGATAAGCAAGTGACGTAGCATCATTGTTGTGATCCGTCAATTGAGGTTCAATTAGTGCCATTAACGTAGGCAAGACTGCTGCCTTCGTGGCAGGGTCAACGTACTGCCAGAGCTTGTTCTTCTGCGCAGTATCTTTTTGTATAAACAGCCACTTGTGCCAGTTGTTAGCTCAATTAAGGACAACTGTCACTCAGGTGACCGCAGGGTCTGACTCAGTAGTCATTGTAAGTTGCTCCGCACAGTATAATCAATCGTGATCTTAATTGTGGGTGCTAATTAGTAGGTTGGCAGCTCCGTACAGTATAATCAATTGTTAATCTCAATTGTAGGTGCCAATCAGTTGTTGTGAGTGAGCGAGCTAACTAGTCGCAATCCGGGCTCATAACTGTTGCGGTATGAAGAGCAAATGTATATAATTTAAATGAGTGTCTTGTGTTCTGTGTTGTTGTTGTCGTTGTATCTATGTTCTCCAAGGCTCGCTGCGGGGTTTGTTTTGATGACGTCTTTGTAACACAGCCAAGGTAAGAGGTGCTCAACAACATGAGGAAGTAACACCAGACCACCGCCAACAACACGTGATCCGCTTCTCCTCTCAACCGTTACATTTAGAGTATAAGCGTCAGCGCGCCGTAGACGATGATCTTCGCAAGGAATGCAGGTAAGGAGTGGCTTCGGTTGCGACCGATATATCTAAGTACTTCGTTAAGGTAGGTATTGATGCGTGTAGCGCGCGCGCGGAATGCAGTGGGCTGCTGAGGCCACGGTGTCGCCATAGCACGTCAGTCGCAGTGGGCGTATGGTTGGGTGCTGGCTGATCAACTGGCATCAAGCGCGACCGTTTACGTAGGAAAAACCTAGGCGAAGTTCAGGAATCACGTTGTCGCTGTGCGTAGTGCTTTCACCACGAAAGCTGACATCATAATCTTACCCTACTTGTGCAGCTTAAGAAAGCAATATGACTTCGCCTCCCGCCTCGGCGGCCCGTGCCATCGGCAGCACCATTCTCCGTTTTTGTATAAGTTTAGCGTCGGTAGCCCCGTACCTGGTACCATCTCGCGGCAGGTGTTTAGTCTCGTTTCCAAACCCATCGCTTGTTTTCTGCACCCTGATATAGCTTGAGCTAGTCTTGAGAACTGATTCACACCTTCCACGTTTAGCTCTGAGCTGTTCGTTCGAATATGGCCAACGAAATTAAGACCTGCGCTCATTGCAAAGAAACCGCCGAAGCTAGAGGAATCCCACGCCTCCAAGCTTGCGCACGTTGTAAGACGGCTGTATACTGCGGTCGCGACTGCCAGAAGGCCGACTACAAGAGTCACAAGAAAGTTTGCCCTAGGCCTGGGGAGCACTCCAACCCCTACTCCGCGCCTCGTCTTCACGATCTCGAGCGGCAGGTACCCGATCCGTTCACGCGACTCGACAAGGGCACGTATCTGCACGATCGGCCGGAAAGTGACACATTCAAGCTTCTCGTCGACTCCTTTCGTATTCGGCAAGCGGATGACTTTGATTACGAGCACAAGACCACGCCACCAAGCATCTACACTGGCGCTGCATCCAGCACTGAACCCTTTCGTCAGTACCTCAACAAGGCGACTGCATGCAAAGGCCTTCTTCCACCATGGTGGACCCCGGACAAAATCGAAGAGTGCGTGGCCTTTGGAAGGAGTGGAGCATGGAGTGATATAAGGAAGAAAGTGACAAAGCACGAAGTCATTCAGCATTATGGATATGAGAAGATGCCACTGCAACTGCGGTTGTTGGCTGAAGCGATCTATGGCGTAGGCACGATGGGACACAATGGCTCAGATGTGCGGAAAATGATGAGGCAAATGGAAAGTGGTGGTTTGCCAAATGGCCAAACTATGAGCATGATTGATGTTAGTCAGAAACGTTAGCAAGAACGAGTGGAGCACAAGACAGTGAGCTGGAGCTTCGCAATCACCAGACTTTTGAGGGGCAACCGCAATTCTAGTACATACGCGCTATTGGAGCCTTCCACGGCGTCGCAGCGCTCTTTGCCACTAGCGCTTCGTTCACTATTTCACCCTCAAACACAGGCAAGTCTGCAGGCGCTCGAAGCGCAGAGTCCTTGCGCTTACGACTGCGCTTTCCTTTCTTTGCGACAGCATCTTCCTTTGCAGCACGCTTTACTCTCGCTTCTTCAAGGTCTTCGAAGCTCATCACCTTCGCTTTTCCCAGCACAACTGATCTGGTCGATCGACGAACCTTGGCTTCGTTGTTTATCTTGAAAAGAAATTGGTTGCGGTCTTTCAGGAGGACTCGCTCAGCGAATGCACTTTGAGCAGCATTTGCGAGTTTTTGTATCCGCATTTTTGTTTGGTCGGGAACATGGGTATCTTGCTTGATCATGTCATGCAATGTAAGCGCTTCCGCTGTTACCGGCGTCACTGGTGTCACGAGCGTTTGGGGTGTTGCGTCCTGCGTGTTGTTGATTGTAGTGGCGGTCCTGGGAACGACAATTTCAACTTGCGGTTTTGGGATTTCTCTCAGTACTCTGTCCGGATTGAAAGGATACAAGCCAGTCGCAGCCCACCCAGACCTGATGTTTCTTTGGGTTAATTCTCTTTCCCGCGCAGGACTGTATAGATAGGTAAAATGCTCTTTACCAACTACGTCAACGCCTCCTCGGCTCAGGCGTTCGACTTGGTCACGATAGGCTGTTTTCAGGGGTGCAAAAGGCCCGACATTGCAGGGCTGCAGCTTGTGGGAGGTATGAGAGGGCAGGCGACATAAGATGATGTTGTTAGTAAGACAAAACTCCAGGATCTCGAGTGTTTCGTGGCTACCAAAGCCGTCGCATATCAGAACACGTGGCTTTCCGTTAGCTCGTGCTTTGGTTTGAGGGTCGAACACACGTGTAAGCCACTCCAGACAGATCTTAGAGTCGTTGTAGCCGTTCTCAGAGAATGCATAGTGCCATCCAGGTGTAGGATAAGTGGTCCAGTTGCTCCGATGTGTCGAAGCGGGCCAGATGATTAGTGGCAGCAATGCTCTACCATCAGCGCTTACACACTCAACCGCAGTGACCATAGTCCGCTTTACACCGGCACCTCTGTAGTTCCGCCGGTCATCCTTGCCTACTAGGACCTTGACCGAACCAAGCATACTTAGCATCACACCAGTCTCATCCATGTTATAGGCGTTCTCCGGGAGGACATTTGGATCCTGCAAAACCTGACCGATCACATCGAACCACTCGACGATCTTGTCGTATACATTGTTCTCGTGACGCTTCCAGTCTATCGACTTGACCTTTCTCGCTTGTACCCGAGGGTGCCGCTCCGCGAAGGCTTTGGGCCAGTTCTTGCCCGGGGGCTTGATCGAGTGCGTCTTCGTAGACCTTCGACGGGCTATACTAAACGCGAGCAAGCGTATAAACTTCATTCGCACTGGATGGCCAAGGTTGGACATTAGTAGCAAGAGCTGAACCAGACCGTTCTCCTCTTCTCGGCTGAGGTACTGCTGGCTCTGAGCATGCTCCTCCCGTGAGCGTCGACCGTTGCGACGATGAACAAGCGTCGAGATCGGGACATTGCTGTGTTCAGATCGAGCAGCATACGTATTGGGCACGACTGCAGGCAGGGCCTGCGCCAGCGCTCGACTGGCTGGGTCCATGTCGACGTGTGTAACGGGAAGAACGTAGGCTCGAACAAGAGGCCAACAGCTGATTGATTGATTGATTGATTAAATCCTACTCGGTTTCAGCCGTGATATCCACAGCTATGCCCGGCGAGCAGGCGTGGCGGACAGCCAACGTGATGCGGAAACATGTTGCTCCGCGCCGCCCCACTTCATTCCTGCGAGCAAGAACCATCTGTCCGCGGCGGCCTGCCGTTTCCCCTCAACCACTATCTACATATGCTTTGGCGGGCCATCTAGATAACGGTTCTACTGACTGTATGCTTTGTTTCTAGGCTTGTAGAGGCGTACTGCCTCGTCTGTCGCGTCTGCTGTACCTACAGTCTCCCCCCAACGCTCAGCGTCGTCTACGTATCTCTGATCCCCACTTGCCCAAGGATCTGCGTCTGTTCTATATACTCAATAGCTTTAGTGGCTAGCTGTGGCGTGCTCAGGATTGTCTAGAGGCTGTGTTGTCTGGACAGGTTGGCAAAGATGCGGTTCCGGAGGTCCTTATGTTTCCTGCAGCGGAGGAGAACGTGGGCGACGGTCTGTCGCCTCTCGCCACACTCACAGCGCAAGGTAGTGACGTCTGGCACTCTTTGGTTGAAGAGGAAGTCGTTAAGCCCAATCTTCTCAGTGCGCAATTGCACCAGTAGAGCGCTCTCCCGCTTAGTGAGGCCTTGGTGGAGCTAAAGCACCTTTTTAGTAGGTGTTGGCGTGTGTCTGTATGTCGCTCGACCTTTGGTTTCAATCCTCCATCTAGCTATCCAATCTCTCTCCGTTTGTAATTTGCACCATTGTTTAAGTGTCAATCTGAGCGGGTGTAGCTTCAGGGGTGCGTCTGCTGGCTGCTGGCTGCGTCCGTCCTCTCTCCATCTAGTGGCTTCTTTAGCAGCTGTGTCGGCGGCTTCATTCCCTGGAATGCCCACGTGGGCTGGAATCCATCAGACAGTCACCGTTCAGCCCATGTCCTAAAGATCCTAGACTTGTTGTGCAATATTACTAAGGATGTAGGCGCCTAATTGCCCTTCAGCCTTAGTTATAGACTAGATAGTGGCTTAGTTGTCTGTGTAAATAGCAATTTTTTGCCTGTTGCTGTCTCTTTCTGCGTATTCTTTTGCAAGCTGCAGCGCAAGGTTAACCCCTTGCAGCTCTGCTGCGTATACTGTTAACGTCGTGTCAGATCCCATGTGCACTGCTCGTGTCTGCTGTGTGAGTAAGCACACAGCTGCTGATCCTATTTCGCCTTTGATGCTGCTGCCATCTGTGTAGATGCTGAGGTTATCTTCTTTTACGTACTCTCTATCGTGTCTTTCTTGTGCCTTCTCAGCTGTTGTGTTAATGTGTGTTGTTGGGCCTCGTCTCTAGGGTAGAGTGAGGAAGCACGGGATTTGTTCTTGCGTGCTGAAGCCTTGGCTGCGCCTCTGCTCCATGTTGTTGTGGATCTTCTGCCATAAGTCAGTGTGTTTCTTGCTAGTTCTAAGTCCTGTATTTTGTGTGTTGTTTGCTAAGAAGCCTGCTGTGCTTGCTATGTCTGTGTTTAAGAGGAGTTGGGTGACTGTCTCTGCATTGTGTTTCTATATTTGCTGCTTGATAGGAAAGAGGAATGCTTTAACGTCTAGTGCAGGTCTTAAGGTGGCCTTAAAGGCTCTACATATAGTTCTTGCTGCCCTTGCTTAAATGCTTTGCAGTATATTTAAGGTCTTTTAGGTATAAAGCTTGCCTTTTGTGCTGGCGTTTGACTAGATTAAGCAGGCATACATTATTTGTGAGAGCGCGGTGCCTTCGTACAGCCTGCGCATATCAATAACTCTGATGCCCTAGGTAGAGCTCCTAAGGCAGCTTAGCGCAGTGACTGTCTTAGTCGCCTGTTTTCTTATCTCTTCTATGTGCTCCTTCTAGTACAGTTTAGAGTCTATAGTCAGCCCTAGGTACTTACATATTGTTGTAGGCTTTACCTCGCCCTATAAAGTCTAGATTAGTCTTATAGTGTTAATTTGCCTGTGCGTCCTTGTAAAGTGTGTTAGCTGAAACTTATTTAGGGCAAAGATAGATGCATGCGTGCTAGCCTATTGCTGTGCTTTCTAGAGAATTGTGCCTAAGGTGTCGCATGTCTTCTCTATTGTCTTGCCCCACGCTAGGATGGCAACATTGTCTATGTACCCTATTAACGTGGCGTCTGTCTTGCTGTTGCATTTGTCTATCAGGTTGGCATTATAGAAGAGGTAGAGGATAGGCAACAGCAGCAAGCCTTAGGGAATGCCTGTGTTTATCTTGCACTCTGTTGATTAGAAGCTGTTAATAGCAATGTTTGTATGTCTGTCACTAAGGAAGCTGGCAATCCACTAAATTGTCTTCTCATCTACCTGTCTTTTCTACAGGTTGTGAAGCAGGTGAGCGTGCGAAACATTGTTGAAGGCACTAGAGACGTTAAGCAGCAGGAGACTAGCCACCTGGCCACCCTTACAATTCCACGCTTCGTAGATCTTGCTAGTAACAGCGTAGAGAGCATGCTTAGTAGAGCGCATCTTCCTGCTGCCCATATGTGTGGTCGGTAGAACATGGTATGTCTTGGCTAGGTAGCTGAGTTGCCGCGCGATGACTGCATCCATGATTTTGCCAGTAGTGTTCATCAATGCAATAGGTCTAACGTAAATACTAAGCGAGTGAGCCATCGAAGCGAGTGAGCCACCCAACCAACTTTGCGCACCTTTACAATCATATATCTCAACAACGTGATAATGTAATGTTTAGATATTTATAGAGTAAATTAAGCAGTATCTAAAGTATCTTTTTTGCACGTACGCGAGTTGTGTCCAGTCTCTCTGCATCTCTTGCAGCGCGCGAGTGCCTGGCGGCTGCGGCCTAATTGCTCTCCTCCTTGACGCTCTTCACGAGCAATCTGCTAATCAGCCTCACGTTGAGCAAGTATATCCTCTCCAGCTCCCTTTGTTAAGATCCCACACTGCTGTATACGCCTTTTTTTACGCTGTTTGCGCGCTGACGCTGCCTCATTAGCCTTCTCAAGGCTGGCAATCCGATCGCGCATCAGCTCAGCTGAGAGCATCACTACCTCAGCACCCTTCTTGAGCTGGTTAATCGCCTCAATGATTGAAGCTGGCGATGAGCTCTTGTGCCGCCGCACGCGATCGCGTATTAACGTTGATTGAGCATCAAGTTCACGTACGTTGCTTGGCGTACGAGCTTCCCAGAGAGCCTCCGGCAGAG